AATTTCTAGGTCTGTAAAAATCTAAGAATAACATTAAGGCTCATGCCATCCATTCCCCATCAGAGAATATGAGGGCAGAGCAGGCCACCACTGCTTGCAAAGTGGAACTGGGCACGAAAAGGACTAGAAAATCTTCTGTGTGGATACAACATCCCAACATCTCAGAGGGACAACTGCCCAGCATCCCTACTGTCAGTAACCTTCCTGCAGCACATGGTCCGGCACTGGGAGGGAGGAATGACACCCCTAGATCTGCCTCCTCATTCTCCATGTGGGTCCCTCACTCTCCCACAGCAGTGGGAAGGATATGGCACCCTGAATTCTCCTGGCCTAGCCAGATGCTGCAGGAGGCTGAGCAGCACAGATTACAGCACAGTGGGGCTAATTTCCTTGCTGTCCACCAGGTCTGCTTTGGGTCCTTGCCAGTATATCCCAAAAGGCCCATAAGACAGCACCAGACCCCCAACAGCCACACAGCTGTATGAAGCCTGAAGCAGCGGCATATGCACAACTCAGCCACTTCTAGGAAGGCCGACTGCACCCAAAGCAGACTGCTCCTTCTCCTGCTATAAGCATATCCCATAATACCTAGAAGCTTCAGCACAGTCCATTGTCTTTCAAAGACAAACACTCATACACCGAAATAGCTCTTAAACTTTTCTGGGCCATCTCTACTTTAAAATTACTTCATTTAAATATGTACCATGTCTATATATACACACACACACCAAGGGAAATTAGCATCGTGAGCAGGGCTGGTGCCCACACACCGTAACTCTGCACATCCTCCCTGCTCCCAGGTCTTCTGGTGCAGAGCTGTGCTGCCAGGGCTCCACACCAGTACAACCCTACAGCAAACCAGAGCCACTTGAGAGCCCCATCAGGATCCTCCCCACTGGCAGGAGCACTGGAAAGACCACAGCCTGTGGGCTCTCCACCAGATCACTTGCTAACACACATCTTTTTTGAGGTATGGAGACTGATGAGGGCAGAGAAGTTTTAAGATCAAATTAAAGAGTCCTTTAAGTCCTCCAGTTCTGCACAAAGCTGAAGCCCCAAGTCCTCCCTTCAGCAGTTTTTCCTACCCCTCCACCCCCACCAGGGCCAAGCTACATGATTCAGACACTCATGAGTAAATAAAGCTCCATGGAGCAGGACTGTGTCATGTAAGGCGTTTCTCCAACCTGGAGAGCAGCACCATTGCAGCCTCCATGTACTACCTTAACAGCAAAACACCCGCAAGGAGGACCCACAGGGGGAAAAAATCTCTGCAACCTCATGAAAGCTGCTGTATGGAAACTTTTAACTGCACTACTGCTTCTGCACAATCCCAGAAGAACTAGCTTAATTCAGACTGCTCCAACTCAGACACTCGATAGTTTCAACACGGTATAGACTATAACCTCACTCTAATTACCGGATCATGTTACATGTCCAACAACTGCTGCAATTCAGTCTTGCCTGATACACCCCAGCTCAAAATTGGTCATCTCACCTCTCACTCTCATACTTTTTGGCAACCTTTGAATGGAGGCAGGGATACCTAGCAACACCTCAGCATCTGACACACATGCACCCCAAGCTCCAGAAAGATTAAGTCATTATTCCTTGCGCTAACGAAGGCAACGACTTCCATCAACGCAGAATAAACTAGTTTTAGGCAAACAGCACGGACATACACTACTGCTCACATGCTTCTCTGTGCAAACGCAATACAGGATTACTGCTAATAGCCACAGCATCGTGAACCCGCACGTCGCTCCCCGAGCCAGGTGTTGATCACACACGGAGCCTATCCGAGCAAGACGGGAGTTTTCAGAGACGCAAAAGCTGCAGGAATCAGGCTTTCGGAGTTTCACTACCTCAAAGGCAGGGGATGTTCCTTACAGCAGCGCACGTCTTGCCTTTGAGCTCAAAACTGCATCCGCAGCTCCCGCTGCCATGAAAGGGGAAGGTTTTCTCCCCGCAGCCGCTCGCCCGCGCCTGAACCGAATGTTAACAGGTCTGTGCCTCGCGTCTGCCTCGCCACCGCCTCATGCTCGGCCGGGGAATGCTCTGCTCCCCGGGAGGACGAGCTGTCCGGCCATGGCTCGGCGATGATTCAGCAAGGGGGTGGCTCCCGGTGGGAAGGCACACCTCCTGCGAGCTGTCACACCGCGGGGCCGGGGCAAAATGGGAGAGAGAACTTGCTCTGTCTATCATGGCTGCACTTTCCAAAATGCGTAACCTGCCTTGGCAGGGTTCAGGGGGGCGAAGGGGCGAAGCGCGAGGGGGTGTGGGGGTATTTCCATCAGCAGGCACATGGAAATAATTGAAGGAAACATCTCGAAGCTTTTAACTATCGCACAAGTAAATGAAAGAAGAAAAAAAAAAAAAAAGCCAGACACTTTGGGAGCCAGCATCAACTTCGCCAGGCTGTGTTCTTTGTTTCTAGGCAGACTCCAGTGCGGTGGCAAGAATGAACAAATGCGCATGTCTTCATAAGAGTCCAAAAAAAAAAAAAAAAAAAAAAAAAAAGGAAAAAAATCCCCCCTCCCCTCCGGCCCCTCTCTCGCCGCTGCGGCGGCCGGAGCCCTCCGGAGAGAGTTCGGGCTGCTTTTCCAGAAGTAAAACTCCACTTCCCTCTACTCCGAGCAGGGGTTTTGCAGCGCTACGAGGCTTTCGGGGGGTTACGGCAGCGCCTGCAACACTTTCGGCTGAAAAAATTTAGTTTCGGTGCGGGTTTCGTGGTATATTTTCTTTCTCTCCCTTTTAAAGCACAGCACGCCGTCCCCGCCACGCTCCGGCCGCGCCAGCCGCCCTGCGCAGCGCCCGGCGGAGCGGCGCGGGGCCCGGCCCGCCGCCGCCAGACAAAGGAGCGATGCGGAGTCGCGCCGGCACCCGCGGCCGGTCCGCCGGCGCTCCCGGGACACCCGCCCGCGGCACCGACACCGGGACCAGCCCCCGCCACCGGGACCAGCCCCCGCCGCCGCGCCCCCCTCCCCGGAGCGCGCCCCCCGTGCCCGCGGCTCGGCGTGGGCACCGAGCCCCCCGCGGCCGCCCCGGCCTTACCTCGGCGGTGGCGGCGGCGCTCGCAGGCAGCGGCGGCCGCTCCGTGCCACGCGCGGCGGCGCGGGGCGAGCCACGGGGGCCGGTTTAGCGCGGGGGCCGCCTGCGCGCCGCCATTTTAACGCCTCCCGCCCGCCCCCCGCCCCCCCCCCCCCCGCTCCCCGCGGCCACGCGCGGCGTGGAAATGCCACTCAGCGTGTCCCCCCCACCCCAACCCCGTCCTTCCCCGTCCCCGCCGTTACATTTACGCAGCGGCTCCTGGGTCGCCGGGCCCGCCGTGGCGGAGCGGTAGCAGCAGGGCAGCAGCAGCAGCCGCCGCCGTCGTGGCCCCTCCGCCGCCGCCGCCGCCTCCCGCCGCCGGGCGCACATGGTACGCTCCGGGGCCGCGCCGCGCCGCGCCCCGCCGGCCGCGCGCGCCGCCCGGCTGCTGCCATGGCAACCGCCCCGCGACCCCCGCCCCGCCGGGCCCTGCGGGACGAGCCCCGGGATGGCCTCTCCCGCACCTCCCGGGATGCCCGCACCGCCTTGACACCTCTTCCCGGCCGCAGGACCCCCGCTTCACCAAGTCTACCTGTCCCTAAAGCCACCACCACAGGCACCTGCTGCGGGGCTGCGTCCCTGCTGTCCCCAAATCACCGGCACAACTCCCTGACATGTCTCCTCCGTCCCCTTGCTGTGTCCCCACTGTCCCCAAAACCGTCGTCATGTCTGGCTGCTGAAGGGTTGCATCTGTGCTGTCCCCAAAGCCACCATCACATCTCCCACAATGTGCCCATACTGTCCCCAAAACCACTGTCATGCCCACCTGCTAAGGGGTTGCATCCGTACTGCCCCCAACCCACTGTCACACCTCCTTGCTATGTCCCCAATGGCCCCAAAATTACCATCACATCCACCTGTTGAGGGGCTGCATAACCTCTGTCCCCAAACCCACCATCATATCCTCCACACTGTGTCCCTGCTGTCCCCAAAGCCACCAGTGCATTCCCCTGTTGAAGAGTTGTATCCCTATTGTCCCCAAACCACTGTCATACACCACTTCTGTGTCCCCTCTGTCCCCAAAGCCACCATCACACCTTCTTGCTGCATCCCCACTGTCCCCAAAACCACCATCATGTCCACCTGTTGAGGGGCTACATTCCCACTGTCCCCAAAGACACCATCTCATCCCCCCGTTGTATCCCTGCTGTCCTCAAAGTCACTGTCACATACCCCCAGTATGTCCCCTCTATCCCCAAAGACACCATCACACCTTCCCATTCTGTCCTCTCTGTCCCTAAAGCCACCATCACCTCCCCCTGCTGAGGGGTTGCATTCCTACCGTCCACAAACCACTATCATGCATCCCTGTTACGTCCCCTCTGTCCTCAAAGTCAGCATCACACCTTCTTGCTGTGTCCCCACTGTCCCCAAAACCACCATCACATCCACCCGCTGAGGGGCTGCATTCCCACTGTCCCCAAAGCCACCATCACAAACCCCCACTATGACCCCTGTATCCCCAAAGCCACCATCATACCTTCTTGCTGTGTCCCCACTGTCCCCAAAGGCACCATCTCATCCCCCCATTGCGTCCCTGCTGTCCTCAAAGTCACTGTCACATACCCCCACTCTGTCCCCTCTGTCCCCAAAGCCACCATCATATACTCCCACTGTGTCCCCTCTATTCCCAAAGCCACCATCACACCTTTCCATTCTGTTCCCGCTGTTCCTAAAGCCACTATCACATGCTCCTACTGCGCCCACCCTTTTGTCCAAAGCCATCATTGCATCCCCTCGTGAGGGGTTGTGTAACCTCTGTCCCCCAAGCAATCATCACATCCCTCCAAAGACATCTCATTTGTCCTCAAAGCCACCACCACATCCCCCTGCTGTGTCCCCTCCGTCCCCAAAGCTATTGTCATTCCCCTCCCAAGAGGGGCCGTGTCCCTGGCAGGCTTGGCCACCCTTACCTGGGTAGTGGCACAGCTCTTCCACGCTGCAGTGCTCATTTTCACTCCTGTTTTGCAACAGAAGATTGCGTACGCCAGGACAGTCGCGAGGGAGAGTAGGCGCAATGTGAAGCAGATGAGCGAGTAAATCATGAAGCCGCCGTACATGTTCTGCATACTGCAAACGAGGAGCTAATTTCCTGGCAGCCGGCTTCAGGATGCTTCAAGTCAGTCTCTGCCGATGCGGCCCTTAAAAACCTCCCAGGCTGTGGCTGCAAACAAGCCTGGCTCCTTTCTCACTTTAGCATCTAACTCCCACAAATATAGATAATTGAATTATGCATTTTGTCAGGGTAAGCAGAAAACAACCAGCAACCACCCGATCACTGAAGAAAACAGAGTCAATCAATTTTTTTTTTCTTTTCTTTTTTTTTTTTTAATTCAGCATTTTATGGGGCTCGGTGACATTTTGTCAAGCATGAGCTCAACCAGATGCAGACAGAAGCAGCTGAGGGTTGTTTATTGCACACAGAGTGGCCCTCCCTGACAGAAGCACTAATGGAAATGACACTAATAAAACTGTCATGTTCGTGTCTGAGCAGCAAAGTGTGATTTCTGTACCCTGTTCTGACAACCACTTCCCCAGTGACCACCAGCAGATCACTTCTCCTTCCTTCCTAGTTACCACCACTGATTCATAGTTGAGATCAATTAGTTAATGTTTGCAAAGTCAGTTGAAGATGACAAAGCATTACATACTGCTAATAAAACCATAATGATCCCACTGTTAAACATTAAACACACAACGAGGTGTAAAAAAACATACCACATTTATGGAAAATTCCTCTTGCTGCAAGGACAAAGGATTAGCTCCTGAAAAAAGAAGGACAAGCTCAAATTTGCACCACAGGATTGTGTCTCAGGGGTTTGGCTTCTGTTTAAGTCTTTGCTACCGATTATTTGTGTAACTGTGGGCACATCACTTGAACCAGCAGTTGCTGACCCACCTGAATGTGGCAACTTCATCCAGAGCTAGACAATAATCACCAGAAGCTTTTGGAAAGTGCTGGTCCTTTTCATTTCGTGCCTCCACTTCCCAGTCTGCTAAATGGGATGAGAACTGCAGCTGTGTAGCTTGATTTTGCAGGCAAGATAATACAGCAGTGAGCAAACCCTGGCAACATGGCCATTAGAAGCCTGGAGAGCTGTGCTGTGCGTGAGGCACGTCACACCACAGTGCAAGGAATAAAAGTGGGTGTGTGGGACTTTCTAGGAGATTTTTCTTGGCAATGAGTCTTGCTTCAGATGTAAAACTGGTAGCTGTGCCACCGGTAGGGCTTCGGGTCGCTGTATGTAGAGCAGTGCATGTCTGATGCTCTGACCTACAGGCAAGAAGGAAGAGAGGAACCAGGAAAACCACGTTAGTCTGTAGCTTTGGGCCTGCACGGGGCCACATTCACGGTGATGAGGCACTGGTGCTTCTGGCAGGGCAGAAGCCTTGGGTGGAGATTTGCACAACAGGAGCTCCAGGCAGTTCAGGATCTGGCACAGTGATCTTAGAGAGCAGAACTCCTCTCCAAAAAGAGCAGCCCTTTGACAAGGTATCCCTCATTTCCGCAATCGAACTGCCCTTTGCAAGGAGCACGCCTGAGCCGCAACAGCCTATTGCATCTTCCTCCTGAAATCTGATGCTGCCCTGCTTTGATGGTGATCAGTTGATGTCTGCAGAAAAGCTGAATCATGAAACAGAGGTTATAAACAAGGTTATTTTTAACGAAGGAAACAAATCCCACATCATGCAGAAGTCGTAGCAAGGAACTGTCAGCAAGGGCTCGCAGGTCTCACTTTTGCCCTGATGTTCTTTATGTCCTGGAGCAAATTAAAATCTCTCTAACCTTTAATTTACCTCCTTGTAACATGGACAAAGCAGCAGACTCCAGTTGTGCTTTCTTTGTACAGCAAAGCTCCTGGTGTGACAGTAAAGTGGTGCTGGGAGCTGCGCAATGCCAGGGGCTGGCTTGCACTGCCGCCCGGCACCTTGCAGAGCTATTTTCAGCCATGCAAAACGATCACATGCAGTATTTCAACAACGTTCATAGACGTTTCAAATGCAGAGAGAGACTACCCAGTCTGATTCCCTGCTCCCATATTTCACAGTCTTTCATTTCAATTCCCACATGCAGCCCAGTAACTTCTGCTTCATTTTGCTCACTGCAAACTCAAAATAGACAAGTTTTGTATCCCAGAGACCCATGCTGTGTCCTTCAAGCAGTGTATATGCAGGGTATATGTTGTAGATACCCAGGCCAGGGGGAGGGAAGATGGGACTGCTACACCTACAGCTAGCTGGGAAATTTCCTAATTATGCCATTTCTCTTTCTCACAATTAAATTCTTCCAAGAAAGGCATATTTCATTTTCCCGAGGAAAGATGCCTCAACTCAAGAAAGTAGGGGATTAAGGCTAGGACTGGTTAGATTTCCACACACTTTCCAAGAAATATGAACAACTCTGCATACAGATCCTTGTAAACCTGTCTTCTCTGCTCCATGCCCGATTTAACAAGTGCTTTGGGTGTGTCTCCCCAACATTACAGAGATAACAACTAAGGTTAAAGAACTCTAGATTTTTTGAAAATGTTTTGTAAATATATAAACACACACACATATATATTTATGAAAACTTTAGGAGATTGTAAACTTTCCTGCCATACTTATTTACAACACTGTTAGGGATTTTTGCTGCTGGAGGAGCTTACCTTGCTCACTCAACCTTCTTTGAGCTGAGTAATGATTTCCACATGGAAAATATCAAATAGAACCCAAAGCAGCAGTGGGTTGGATCCCAAGTGGGTTCTGCTCCTCCTGGCCCTGCCTGCTGTGGTAGCAGACACCAAACCTGCACTGGCTCAGAACACACACCAGCCCCTTGGCACAGGTGCCCGGAATCTCCAGCACAGCCGTGAGAAGTGGAACAGGACCAACCTTGCAAGCCAGTTCCCACTTGCAGGTGCCTGCAAGGACATGTGGCTGCATGCCAGCAGATGGAATAACCATCGCCCCTCACTAGTTATGGGGCAGGGATGCTGCAAGGCTACGCTAATTAGTGCTTGAGACGCCTCTGTGATCTGTAGATGAAAGGTGATTTACAGCTGCAAATTATTGCTCTCCTTCATGTGAAGTCTATTATTTTCTGGTGTCCCTCATTTTGACTCACGCCACATCCCATATTTGGTGTGGGGCAGGTTCCTCTCTATGGGCAGTTGTAAAGGTCCTTTACAGCCCCAGCTGGCTGCATGCTGTAGAAGCCCATGATCTGCTTGCAGCATCCACTTGAGGCAGCCTGGCCATGCCCATGCTTGGGAAACTTGGGCTGGAATTTGCACAAAACCGCAAAACTTGAACAGATGGCTTAGCTGGTGGGTTAAGAGGGGCTCTATTCAAGGTTGGGTACTCAGCTGAGCTGTGCACTCAATTCTGTGAACAGTCAGAGGACCAGTAGGGTGAACCAGGGAGGAGAAACAGGAATATCCCGAGCCTCTGTGCTTGGGACTGCCTCAGGGAAGGGGAAGAAGCCAGAGAGAACCAGACTGGGGCCTCTCAGTCTATAGCTTCTCACCTGTGTCCCAAACCTTCTGGGTAGGAATTACAAAGCAGGAAAGGTTTGTGTCTTTGGCAGGTGTCTGGAGGGAAGGGATATTGGGGTGGTTTTGTGAACAGCCCATGGATAGCAGAAGGAGCAGGTATATTCAATGCCCTTCCTGCATTATGCCCCATGGCACATACACCCCATCAGGTTGCAAAAAGCAAGTGACCTTTTGCTTTTTATTGATAAACAAAACAGCAGAAAGTAGCATGTGGTGTAAGGTAGTTGTAACAACAAAGGAAGAAATATCCCTGATACTCCACACCAGAGCAATTCTAGCACAAATTGGGATTTCCTTCCCTCTCTCTCCCCATGCAACTTTCCAGCTGGGAAAGTAAATGACCATTCACACAAGCAGGCACAAGGTAGTCAGGGATTTTTACAATTGAAAGAGATCTCCCACCTCCTGCCTAGCCCACGGCAGTTTCCACCTTCTCCCCCAAGGTCCATGACATTTTAAACGTTCCAGTGATGAGACTCACAGTGCTTGTTCACTCACATAGCAGTGAACAAGGAGGACTGGATGGGGTCTCCAGTCCTATGGCAGCCCTGTCTCCATCACCTTGTTCCCTCAGCTCCACCAAACCTTCCTGGCAGCCGTTTGCCCACACTGTGAATTGGTCTGAGGCTGCCGTTACTCTCCCCATGGACACAACAGTCACACTCTAATTCCAGCTTTGGCTTCCTCTCGACAAACTCATTTGGGTCCCATTTTCACGAGTGGCGGCTGCAGCACAAAAGGGCACTTGCTGCATCGCCTACACCAGCAACTGGGCTTCTGTGCTCCCTAAAATGCAAGCTGCTGCAGACTCTTGCCTGTCCCTGCCATCTCCCTGTGGGCCAGCGATGGCAACGGCCCAGCTTGTCCTCTGCAAAAGCCCTGCTAATGTACACACAGGCTGCCTGTGGATGTGGGGAGCAGAAACAAGGCTGCAGAGCTGCACCCCAGTGGCAATGTATGCACAGACAGAAGAAGACTATTTCAGAAGTGTTTGGGCCAAGAGGGCTAGTGAAGCCTGCAGTGGTTCTCTGGGTGAGTGTCACCTTCACACCCACCTGCAGATCCCTTTATGAATGACCATGAGGCCCATGGTCCCTGCATCCCACTCTGGAGGGACCTGGTGCTTCAGGCTGGTGTTGTGACCCCTCTCCCTGCTCCACATCCTTGCAGTTCTGTGAATCCTCTGAGGTACTAAGAAAGCCACAAGCTAATTCCTTTTCTCTCTACTAAAGGCAGCAAGATGATTAAAAGAGTTAGCCAAATATTGCTATGGGGAGCACCAAGTGGTAACTCATTAGAGCTCCCACCTGTGCTACAACAAACCCCAAGGAAAACACAGAAAGACCCCCACCATAATGTCCTGCTCTAGTCTCTAACCTGATGTTCTGCTGCATTTTCTTACTGCAAAGTTTTCTCCCAAAGGTTTTGTCCTGAATTCCTCAATGTATCCGGGCAGGGGGGCTTTGGGTCCGAAGTCGCTTTTGCACATCACTCACATGGCAGCAAAACTCAG